ATAAAAGTTAAAATGTACATGTATTAAAATTTTTGTTGATGAAAGCATTTATGTATTTTTACATGCGTTTGCGTTTTGAAAAAATAAAGTTTTAGATATTACTGAAATGCTTATTTTGTATTAGCTTCTTCTTTTTTTTGTGAAAATATATACAAGTTCACCTTAAGAAGAACTAGGTAAAGAAAAAAAAGTGCAATGTATTTTGTACTTAGTGTTTTTAAAAATTGNAAAAAAAAAATCCAAAGTTTTATAGCGAAATCGTAGGGAGAAAACAAATACGCATTACAGCAAAGACAAAATGGCACAATTCGATTCTTATTTATTGTAAACGACCGGCCCAATCAATAAACCGAACAAAAAAAAAACTCAAAAATTAATAAAAATACGCATTACAGAGAAGACAAAATAGTGAAACTATGTTCTTTTATAATTAATTATTTTTGAAAACTATCTTTCTGTTTTTTTTATAAGGAAACCCTAAAAGAGAAAAAGTGGCGCTTATTTGAATAATTGAAAGCTGAATTCCGTATCACGGCCTGTGGTGCGGAAATACAAAAATAATTAATATTTATAGCATTAAATAAAATATATCCTATTACACTTTTCTAATTTATACTTAAAATGACCATTTAAGTTAATATTTAAAAAAGAAATTTGACACGTGGTCACGACTCAAACCGTATAATACGGCCCTTGCGTAACTGTTATTTAATTACTTGTATAAACATAAAAATTTTTGTAAATTATAATTCTTTAATAATTAAAATAAAAACTTACCTGCAATTCAATTAATGCGGGGAACTTAGCTTCTGCTATTTCTTCTTTAGCCATCCAATAGACCGTTCGCATTTGTGAATAATCTTGAACACAATTAGCAATTTGTTTTTCAGATGACACTTTAAAAGACCGTTGCTGTTCTAATATATTAAGAGCACGTAAATGATGAGCAGAAGAGTCTTTTCCCGATGTGTCAATATGCCGGACTAGTGCGCTACGTTGAAAATTCTCACAGCCAGTGGTGAATGCATTTTTTATTCGTGCCTTGCGGCATATATCACAAAACATTTTACCATTTTCGTAGACTAACCAATTAAATTCAGTTTTCCACCTAATATTAAAGTTACGTACTTTAGGCATCGTTTAATTATTGCACATGTATTAATTATAAAACAAAATTAAAAGTTTGGATGCGTAGGTCAGGTCATTAAAAATGTTTGACTCTAACTGAACTAAAAGTAACATATAGCTTAATATAACGGTGCGTAAGTACCTCCTTCGAAAATAAAGGGTAAGGGGCCACTAAAAATGTGATTGCATGACGTAGGTATTAAATAACCAATCAACCCTAATCTTCTACGTGTGTACTATGATATTTTGAAAATAAACCCCTTCAATTTTTACCACCCCTTCAACCTCTTTCTTTCTACTTGCTCATTCGAGGTCACTTAAATCCGGTACGATTTCCCCCCCCCCATTCAATAACACCTGCGTCCCTCAGTTCCGATGACGTCACTGGTTTCATTAGAGAAAAGAAGTTTGGGGGGAAAGTCTTGTAGGATGTTTCCTGCTATAATGGTCAACATTTTGAGTCATAGAACTGGTTTCCCACCTGTGTGTCTAACATGTGTTGGTCTAACTCTGGAGACAGGGTTTTTTTTTTTATACCGAGGATGCATACCGATTTATTTTTTGCTTCCCAATTTTTCGATTTTATTAAAATGTTTCGATATCAAAGATTAAAAAGTCGGGAAATTTATAAACTTTCTTCAAAAATTTACGCGTCCCGCGGGACGCGTAGCGATCATTTTTTTACGTCCGATTTCAATTTTTTGCGTATTTTACGCGCTATAGCGCGTAAATGTCTTCCCTGGAGGTCTGCTTTGCTTTTAAACTTTATGCTGTAAAAATGCTGTAAAAAATATTCTCTTCTAAAACTGCTGCTGTTGTCACCACTGTTTCAAAAATTTTTTACCAAGCATGCTTTTCTCTCTCATAACTCAAACTGTTTAATGAAAGATGTAAAATTTTACACATTTACAGAGAAATATTAAAAAAAAATTCTGGTATCAAAATGTTAATGCACTCATAAGTTATTGAGTTATTTTATGTCAAGGATAAAAATTGCTGTTTTGTGTGATGTAATTCAGTTTATCATAAACTAGTAGCAGAAGGATAGTTGTTTTGAAACTCAGCTATAGTTTCTGATAATGAATAATTTGACTCAGTTTTTTTAACTTTCAAATTAGTTTTGGAGTAATTAAATAGTTCATGTAGACAGTCTTTTGATTTATTAATGTAAAAGAAAAATTAATCTCAGAAAAATTATAATATTTTGAAACCAATTTTGACTGTAGATAAAAAACAAACAAAAAAAATTAAAGCGACCTGCTCCTTTCTAAAATTTTGGTGTATTTTTATACAATCTAAGAAGGTTAACGAATAATAGGTATTTATTTATTTGATGAACCAAAACCTAGTACTCCCTTTTTATAGGATTTATTGTAATAAGGTGTTATTATTTATATTAACTAATATTGAGAGTTTTTCTGCTTCTGCTATATCTTCTTTCCCTCCTCGCCTGCAGGTGATGTCAGTAAAAGTATCATTGTTTCCTTCTCCTTTGTTTAATTCATTTTAAAATTATTTTTTTTACCTTTCATAAAAACAAATTATAATTTTTAATTTAATGGATTTTAAGGGATTACCAGTATATGAATACAATTTTATTTATTATTTTACTTATTTTTAAAAAAAATAATGTTAACAAATTCGTTCAGCAAATTAATTTATTACTACAAATTCTGAAAGTAAAAGCAAAATTTCTAAAGAATAGGTAGTTTAATTAATTAAACTACTTATTGTCGTTTAATTGGTTAAATTAACATAATTTAAAACTCTTTTTCATACTCAAACATTGATTCTTTAATTTATATTTTGGTTTCTAGATATTTTCAACATTAACTATTTCAGTGAATTTTGTAAGATTTTCTTGCATTTCAAAGATTTATACATTGAAATTAAAATGTAATGCCCTTTTAACAAAAAAAAATTTTTTCTCACATTTTTATATGAAATTTAAGGGTACTTTAAATTTCTGATTTCCTAGAAATGTACTTTAAAAACGTTACTTTTTTTGTTTTGTACTTGTTCTTTTTTATTTGTAACCTTGTAGAATCAAAACTTTTACCTGTTACTTTTTTAAAGTAATGTTCCCATGAATGCTTATCATTCACTTATGTACCTCTCACTTTACTCTTCTTTTGGTTTCACAGTAATGGTGGTTTATGTAGTAGAAAAGTAACTTTAAAATATTTATTAAGCTGAGTTACTACAAGTTAAATGTGTAGTATTTTTAAACTTATAGATTATTTTCATAAGTCTTAGAGCCACTGTGTTCTTCAAGATACTCCTGAAGATTCCAGAAAGAATATTCATAAGTTCTTGATTCCTGATCTTAAGACAGGCCACACACTGAGGAAGCAAGTGGTAAAAAAGAGGCAATCAGGTGCCAGATTCTTAACTTTTGTGTTAGGTTGCCACGGAGGTGATGTGTGCATTCTAATGCAAAAATATTGAAACCTGCTTCAATTAGGCCTCTTACTTACCACTTGCATCTTCCGTTTGTGACCTGCTTTATGATCTTGTACTGGCTAATCATTGTCCTGCTCGTCACAGCTTTGCTGTAAAGGAAAATGTTGCTTGATTTTGTGTTTACACTTGTAGCTCCTGATAAAATATGAACATTGAATAATGTTATGATAATCAAATGAAAATGTTTTGAACAATGCTTGAAGAAATTTCCATTTCAATGTTTTCCCTGTGGCAGAATTTTTTCGAGCTATTTGCAACAAAATATTCAAGTACTATTATCTTTTGGCAAGATACTTTCAATTATCACAAACATATATGTAACTAATTTAAAATAACAAAAGCGCTCTGCTTGCAAAAAAAAAACTATATTTATTTTTAAAAGAACATATAATAATTTTTTATTCTAATATTATGGGTGATATTCTCGCATTTTGTTGGGAGGGGGCACAAATTATTTCCTTCACCTTTTGTAAATAATCATCAGGATAAAAAAAATTAAAAATCATGAAAACGCATAATAAATTACCAAACAAAAGATTGACAACGAAATTACGTGAATCCAACTCCTCAAATGCGTGTTTCGTTTTTAGATTAAGTGGTTATAGTAAATATCATTTAAAAAATATTGAATTTAAAAACTATGAGAAATCAATAGCAATAACTGCCAAAAATTTGATCGAATTTTTGCTTTAAAGTAAATACTCAAATGCACGATTTAAATTTTCCATATTGTTTGAAATATATTGGGGTATTAAAAATCCATGTGAATATTAATATCAATAACTGCCGAAAATACAATCGAAACATTACATCCATTTACGATACTATCAGCGTAAATTTAGTGTGCCAAAAAGTGATTATCTAAGTGCATGACTCAAATATTATGTGTAAATTTCTGTACAAATGAAAAGTAATTATTTTTACTTTTTAAAATAAAAATCTTTTTGCAAAAACTTAGTAACATTCTGTGGCAATGTCGCCGTGTCGCTGCATTTATGCCTCGGGGGATGTTTCTAAAAATTATTCCATTACATTCATTGAAGAACAGAAAAGTGCTTCAGTATTAGTCTCTACTTTACCACCCATGATGAAAACTGAGACACTTACTTGTGGCAGAGTAGGGACTATCTTGAATATCACTGGGCTCTAGTATTATAAATATTCAAGCATATTAATTTAAAAATAATTTGTACTTTGTTAAAAAGTTTATTTTATATAATTAATCAATATTCAATAGACTATTCAACTTTGTTCTCAATATAATTGTTAATTTCTAATTATTGCTTTCTGTAAATTAGATTTTTATGTTTTTTTTTATTTCAGTTTTTTTCTTTGAATTATCAGTGATTAGTATAAATAAATTTTAAATAAAATCATTAAACTTGCAATGCATTTAATTATTTGTTTTCTTTTAAATAGGATAAAAGGAGAAAAAATTATCAAAAGGGAAGACCATATATTTCCATCTTGTCCTAGAGAAGAATGTATTAATAGTAATGGTTCATCTTTAAGGTAAATTAAAATATCTCTTTTATTACTATAGTAAATAGGTACATATAGCATGTTCTAAAAATACATTTTGACAAATTTAGATTATTTTTTAGATATGTTTTTGGAAATTAGTTTTGCAATACAATTGACAGTTTTTAATTATTATTTTATCTTTAATATTTGTATCTTTTCAATATCACACTGTTTTTCAATACTACTTTATGTTTTATTTGTCTTACATAGCAGTGTAAATTTGAACTTGTTTACATTGAAGGAATGTGAAAAAGTAGTTTTTTAAATTAATCTAAGATTAACTAACTCATAATATACTTACATTGTTTCTATAAGACCTGGTTGAAAGTAATAAAAACATATGTATCATTAAGATTTACATAGTTTATCACATGTGAATCTTATTGATTTTCTAAAATCCATCATCAATTTATTTCAACATTGTCAATTGATGTAGAGCAAAATGAAAACACGCACAAATTTTATGATTTTGAAGTAAGTAAAATGTTATTTTTGTGCAGTTTAGTAAGTTGTCTTTCGCAAATAAATAAATTGATTTAAAGAATTTCATCCAAATTTGTATCGGAAAAAAAAAACTTATCTAAACATTGTAAAAAGTTTAAATTTATGCATTTATTTTAGTTTGCAAGTTGAAGGGAAGAAAATGGCTATCCATGCACCTGAAAAATATTTTAGAAAAACAAACTTTGAAATTGCACCTGATTCTTCTGAACCAGATATTTTTGAAGAAATTATTTTAAGTCATTATGATGATGAAGATAACTCTACTTTTCTGAAAAAGTAATAAATATATACTGTTCATTTTTCAAAATTGCTAATTCAATTAAAAGCTATGTACATATGTATATCAGTAAACTAACCTCTCCTTATTTGCCATGTTTTAGCTAATCTAATTCATTAAATGGAGGGGGAGATGGGGAGGGATTTTTTGCAAGTTTTATACATTGTAGGAAAGTATAAACGCACTAGCCACCTTTGTCGACCAGCTTGGTCACCTTTCAAAGTTATCTTGCACAACATATAAACATTAACAAAGTCAAATGCAAAGCACAATAGTTTATAAATATTATAATTTTTCACCCACTCCTCCAAACTTTACACCTTAATTAGTTATAAACATATTAACTAAAACTTTTTCACTGTCTAGCTGTTGCCCATGCTTTTACCTGCGCAGGAGTACTTTGATTAAAATTTAACTGTTTTCAAGAGATGTCTGCAATATTGTCAAAGCTCTGTATGTATTGAATTTTAGTAATAATTTAAAGTCTGTCCTGCAGCCCTTAAATCACACAAACCCCTGTAAATTTGTTTTCATGAAATTTCAGCTTTTAAAGGAGCAGAAGTATTAAAATTATTTCCATCTCTTTTTGATAAGATAAAAAAAAAACTTATCCCAAAACTCCATTACCTTCTGTACTACTTCTTCACGCATCTCTCTAGATGTAACTTGAGCATTCTGTAATGTACATATGTTATTGCTTGAAAAACACAAGCTCTGTCACCAATAATTTGTATGACAGTATGCAGCACAATAGCACCATTTATGTTTAAAATTTCTACAACCATTCTATAATCAATCAAAAATTAATCTAAATAATAACTTCATTATAAAATTTTTAATTCAACAAGAATACAAAATTATTCTAGATAAATACATAACCTAAAACAAACTATTTAACACTACTTAAATTGAAATTTAAGAAAACCTAACAAAATGAATCTAAATAATCTGAACATATATTATTCTTAACATATTACAAATATTTTAACTTAAGTTATTAATTAAAACGACCTAAGAAAATGAATAATAACTATAACTATGCTAATAAATGAAGAAATATCATAGTTTATAGTGTCACATAAGAGAAATATATATTTAGGTTAAGTGATATAATGTATGGTTTACAATTGTAATATATATAATTTGTAATCATGGTACAAATTAATTGGTTTTAATTTTTAGTATTGCTAAAACTAATACAAAATTATTTAGTTAATTTTTAATAAATATATTCTGATTAGAAATGAAAATACAGAAAATTTGCAAGCAAAAGAACAAGTTACTGAGACTGAAACACCAATTTCTGTAGAGTACTTACAAGAAAAAATTGTTGAGAAATTAGCACAACACATATGGCCAAAAGTAAGTATTCCTTTCTTGGGGTTATTCTTTGTAATTTGAGTTAATATCTTGAATTTTATGACTGATGGAATTAATCCTAATTTTTTTGCACATTACCACTTAATCTAAGAAAATCAAGGAAATTTTGCATCTTTTAAAAATACAGTTAAAATTGATTTTAGGAATGATTTTTATTGAAAATATATTTATGTATAATACAACTTATTGTAATTGTTTACAAAATGGTTGCATAGGGTCAATTATTACAAAAAAAGAGAGTTGATTGTTATTTTTTTCGAAATGTTTTCTATTATTAACTTCTTTTAACTTTAGCATTGTACCAATTTTCAAGCTGGTAAATAGTCAAACTTTTACCACTTTTATTCTTTTTTTTAATTTAATGATTTTTAACACTCTGAAAAATATTCCAATGTTTTTATCTTTCCTCACACTCTATTTTCATCAATTTCTACACCATTTTCTTCATGCAAATTATTCATCATGTTTTCTTATAAAACTTGTAAGGATAAAAATTTATTTCTTTTACATTGAAATATTTCTGTGTTTTATCAAAATAATTTTGCTTTTTTTAAGTATTTAATAAAGAAATAAATAATAAATAAATAATAAATAAATAAATAATAAAAAAACATTAAATTGCCAATTTTTTTTATAGCTAAGTTAATTTTTACATTATCATAAGTGGATGAGGGATTATCACAAATGAATTAAATACAAAATTAGTACAATAGCCTGAACCAAATAATTCCATTGCATGCATCAACAGACTTAATTAAAAGCCTCATAAATTTTATTTAGTGAATTAAAAGGGGAACTTTTTCAAATCCTTATAAACTGGTTTTTCTTTTCAGATTAAAAACTCGTGCTTTTATGCTTGCAAGAGTAAAAGGGAATATTTTTTTTTATCCACCAAAAACTTTTAAACTAATGTCCTGAATGAACAGAACCCATAAAAGGGAAATTATTTAATAAAAATTATCATTTGGAATGGCCATCTTCACCATATCTTATGACTCATAATGAGATTGGGTACCATTTCATTAGCATATTGGTATCAGGATATTTAAATTTAATGCAATGAAATTATTATTGAAGTGCCTAACTAATTTTTATTTAATTTGTTTGGATCATAATTAAAGCTAACAATTATTTGTTTAATGAATTACTTCAAATATTATGAAAAAATACAATATTTTTTTGTTTTTTTTTAAATTTTTTAAAACTATGCATTCAGTTTTTTTTTTTTTTTACTTTAGTTTGGTTGCTCTTATTAAAAATTTTCTAACTGTGAAAATAGAATTGGTTCTGGATACTAAACATTGAAATCTAAAAGTAATTCTCATTTGTAATCTTCATATTATTATTTCAGGTGCTCAAAACTCTTCAAAATTGTCATGAGGACAAGAAGTGGGGTAAGAATTTATGTATTTATTTAAAGTGGAAAACAATTTTAACATAAAAGATTAGCTATGCCTTAAAATGTGATACTTTGGAGTTTAAATATTTATTTGTTGATTCTTCATTTATATTAGTCATCAATAATTTTAAATCTTTGTCAAGTCATTTTCATTGGGGATATTTTTCAGGTTGTTATTCTTTTATAATTGAACAATGTTTTTTCATATATATATATAAAATTTATTATAAGCATCTTTCTTATTTTGTCAGTTTATCTTATGATTCATTTCGGGTAAACTGAAACAAAGTGATTAAATCACATTAAACAATACTATACTTGAAGCAATTTACTGATGATGATAGTAAAAAAAAATTTTTTGTGTTATGATCCACTGAAAAAAAGATATGTTTATTCAAACAAAGTACGTTTTTGTTTCTAATTTTGTAACCTAATAATTAGCATTTGTGTGGTAAGTCTCTTGAGCCATTGATATTGGTAGTTAGTATATGTGAAATTCTACTCTTCAGAACATAATTTATTTGGGATGGGTTTTTTTTTCGGTCACTGTACATTATAACAAGATATGAAAAACTATTTTTTCATTTGATGAATGCCAATCATAGGATATAAGAATTATGCAACTGAAATTTAAAACTTTATAGGAATTTATATTATAAGTTTACAACTGAAATTTAAAACTTTATGGGAATTTAAATTATACATATTATTTTAAAATATATTTAATATTTTGTAAAAAAATAACTATATCAATATCATATTATTTACTGATATTTTTATGAGAATATTTAACGAAATAATTTCATGATTGTAGTATGGTATACTACATATTAATTAAAATAATTTGTTAATTCTAATCTAATTATCTAATTTCATTATCTAATCATCTAATTTATTTAATCATCATCATTCATCTAATTTAATAATCATTTGTTAATTGTTAATTTGTTAATAATGTATTAAACGCTTAAATAATTGTAACTGTTAAATTTGTGATAAACTTTTAATTGTATGTTTTTTAATTTCTTCTTTTTACACTTGTAATTAATGTTATTTATTTATCAGTATTCAATAATTCTTTGCAATATATTTCATGTAATATTTAAGTTTTAAGCCTCAATTTGTTTTGTAACCTTGGGAAAGTAATCTTTCTCTGCATTTATGTTCTTCCTTTAAAAGAAGATTCCTCCTTTTGTTGCTTCGCTGACAGCAAGATGTATGTCCAGTCAGCAAACCCCTTTGTTGGATCGAGAAGGAGTGACACCAAGTCACCTTTCCCACGTTTCGGCTTGCATCAAATGCAAAGCGCCCCTTTTGATCTTATGATGGCGCCAAGAATGTTCCAGAACATTCTACAAAATTCTTTTCCAGGTGTGTCACCACTTTTGACAACCCTGCTTCATGTTTGGCATGGAGCTTAACAATTAATTTCGCCAGTTGGCTAATATTTGCAGCTCTGTGATTTGCCCCGCTGATCCTTCTCCATCCAACCAATGCGATATTCGTAAAAGTGTAATTTTTTTGGGGGAGAGTTTTCTCCCCTATCTTCATAACGAAGAAATAGTCAGTTGTTGTTTTTCTCTCAATTTGTGTTTGTTTGTTTTTTCGGCTTAGGCCGATTTTTTTCTGTGTTGGCATGTTTGCCAAGCATTCTTGTTTTTTTACAATGTTAAGTAGTCAATAAATATGTTTTTCCGCATCCCTAACTATGAGTCTGGTGAGTAATTTCACTGTATAAGTTGTTTTCTCTTCCTTCCTTTTTTTCAGCATGTTCCTCCGTTGCACTGACCTGAAATTTTGTACCCACTTCCAATGTACGCCACTATCATCTTTTTTGGCCTTTACATAATTACTTTCTAAATTGCATTTAATCTTAAGTTGACTTAATGTTAGTCACCCCCTTTTTCCCCTTTTTGATTTAGCCACACCACAATGATATAACCTGTATATTTTTTATAAATATGTAAAAAATTCTATTTTTTAATTAAAGCTACTGATGACAGTGCTTTCCAATTCTAAATAAAAAGATATTTCATAGATAAAAAAGTTGAAGATATCCAATTACCACCAATATTTGCTGTTCAAGTTGATCAAAAACGTTCTGCGACAAATCAAAGGCCAAAAACAGAAGGATCTAATTTGTCTGTATTGGATTTTCCTAAACTGAGTAGCTTTTTATCAGTTTCTCCTAAAGTTTTACAAGATCGAAAAGAGTGCAAAAGTGGGTAAGGAATTTCAATCTTTTTGCATTATTTTTTTCTAAACTGTATCTTATTGCACTGTTTTAACTACCTGGAATACTTAATTTATGTAATATTTATTCAATTAATTTATCTATTTATTTCCAGTTTTTTCTATGCTAAATCTTTTTTTTATATTAAAAAGATGTTTGAAGGTAGTTAAAATTGCTTATTTTTTTGTGTCCATATTATTTAGTTATCAATTATTAACAGTGAAAATAATTTGGGAATACTTCAAATTTTTTTAAGTGTTCTGCGTATCAAATTTCTTTACATAATACTTGTTATACTTTTATTCTAAATATTTGTTATTTTTATTTGAGATTTATGACTTTAAATTAAGATTATGTAATATTTTACTTTGTTAATACTTGTAAAATTTTCACAGTAATATGAAGAATTAGTATTGTTGCATTCCAAAATAGACAATTTTAATAATTAGAAAGCAAGATGTAGTAGGACAAAGATTAAGCAGTTTTTTTATATCCATTTTCCCTGATTTCTTTAAAATATATCAGTAATATGATAATTTGAAGTAGGTGCATTTAGTTAAAGATATTTTATATTTTTATATACAGTGGAGCATCGTTTATATGACGCTGAAGGGACCACCGAAAAACGTTGTATAAACGATAACGTCGTATAATCGATTTTTACTTCTAAAACTGAAACTAACTCTGTTTTCAGTTAATTTTAATGTTTAACGTGTTGATTTACATATATTTCTAAATTAGACAAAGCAAAACAAACAAATAACCAAAGAAAAAAAAAATTTCAGTGAGCAATTTGATTGTATGTTACCTTTAATTATATTTTCTTGCTATTAGTCTCTACAATGCTTTGAATAGCGAGTTGAACTTACTGCTTTCTATGATGCAATTTTAGATTTCTAATCACGGCCAAATCTAATGGCTGAAGCGCACTTGTGCAATTTGCAGGAAAAAAGAGAGCTTTTACATTTTCCAAAATAATTAGTATCGATGGGTGTGCTGGGCATTAGTCGATGAATAGCAAAATTTTTCGTTTTTGCCTCTTCATAACATTGTCTAGTTTTTTCAGTCATCTAGTAAAAATTACGATCGTCATCCAAGCATTCTTGTTGGCACCCTTTTCTGTATCTTTCATGTTGGCAAATTCCGCCCTTTTTTAAAACACACAAGAAAAAATAAAAAATTAAATAAACGTGAACAAAATCTAAAAACCGACGTATAACCGATTCTGTGCGTCATATAAACGATATATTCTTACATTAAAATGAATAGGAATGATTTGGGACCATACTAAAACGTCGTATAAATGTAAACGTCGTATAAGTGATCGTCGTATAAACGATGCTCCACTGTACATGTTTTTTTATAGTTTATTTCTTAAATGTCAATTATTATTTATTTAAAAAAAAAAATGAAATGCAAGAACATTTTCATTTTATTAGCCGGAGTAGTCTAAGATCTTCAAGACCAAATTCTGAAATCCATTCAAGAAGAAACAATGCACATTCCTCTTATGCAAGTAATCTATTTTCTCAAAGTACATGTAAAGTGTCAAGTACTTCCAACTGTCTGAAACAGGTTCAGTTTCTTTCAAAAAAAGCACAGAAAAAAGAGGATATGGATAAAATGTCATATCTTCCAGCTTTGGAGGTAAATTTTTTTATATCTAGACTACAAAAATAATTTTGTGAGCACAGCACAATTATTTTGTGTACACTAATAATCTTCAAGTGACACAATGCGAGATCTTTTAGATTAATTTCAATATTTTGATTTGTTTAGATATTTCATCATCATCATCTTATTCAACCATTACCAATGCACTGCGGCATGAATATAGCTTTTCAAAACTATTAATCTACTGCTTTTTTTAACCCTTTAATGAAAATTTTAAAAAAAATGAACTTTTTTTATTTTACCTGAATGTAATAGTAAAGATAAGTGTGGAATTCAGAAGAGAAGCAAACAATGGGGTGCAATATTCTTTTGTGCTTTATGCATCTGCTCATTTGATCATTTCTCATCAAGTTTATTTGTAGTTATAAACGCAGAATTTATAAATGTGGTTATTTAAAAGCAAAGAAGTTCAAAATTTTGTGGTCCCTTCTTTTAAGTAGTTAAAATTTTAAAATAAATTACACCAAAATCGAAAAAAGAATGTTTTAAAAATCAATTTTAAGTAATGAGTTCAATAAATATCTTTTTATAAATAAATCTCAAGTCCCAAAAATATTTTAAAGTAGCAGCACTATATAAAAATTGCCCTATAAAGGGTTAATAGCATTCAATCACTGTGTTTGTGTTTACCTTTTAGTTAACCAGTTTAAGATGCTGCAAGTTCAGCAATTCTCAGTTCTTCTGCTATATGGTTAGCCTATTGCCATTTAAAATGTTCAATGTAAAATATTAAAAGTAAGACAGAAAACCAAATATCGAAGACATTAAAAAACTTTAGTTTTTATTATAATCCTATTATTTGCTTTTAGATCTTTCTCATAATACTGATAAAGTATTTCTTTGTGTAGTTTTTTAGATCTGCTTGTGTGAGTTTAAGTCTATGCTAAGTTTAGGTAACACAAATTGAAAGAAGAGAGGATATTACTCTTTAGTATGATTTTTTTTAGCCAAAATAACTTCAATCAATTTTTATTCTCCTGTTAATTTCATGCATGACGTTGTAATTTTATACAAATTAAATGTAACTCTGTACTTTTTCAATTTCTATTTTGATTTTCTTTTCTATAAAATAAACATTTAATGTGATTTTTTTGTCATAAAACTTTATTTTAAGCTCTTCTTGGATATTGTGTAATATATATATATATATATTTAGAACCGCAATGGCTCAGGGTTTAAGGCATTAAACTATCATTGTGAAGAACTGGGGTTTGATTCCCAGTGGCAGTTTGAAGCTCACTCAGCTTCAAATCGATGGGTACCTACCAGCTTATCCTACACGTAAAGGCAGCCTGAGCGAGCAGTGCTAACCACAATCATTCCATTGGTCACAAAACAATAGAACCTTTACCTCCATGATCTTCTTGGGCCACTGTTGCGGGAATTGTTTCCATATCTTAATTTTATCAAGATGAGTGTATTAATTTAAATAAATATGTGTTCATTAACCAAAGTCATCCTTTTGAATGGCAATAACCAAAGAATGTAATAAAATCTATATATGTTTTTCCAACCAATAAAAAATGTCCTATTTTTTATGGAATAAAAACCTTAGTTGAGTGACATTTTTCCAAATTCTTTAGAACTTTTCTTATATAACCAATGACTCTGGTATATATATGCAGAAAAATTTCTTACAATAGTTCTTTATTGGAATTTTATTCTATGTATTTTCAATTCTAATTCCAATTTTAACATTTAATAATAACATATTTTTATAACCATTAAAGTAGATTTCTTTAATTATATTTTGTTCAGGAAGACATAAACGATCCTGTTGACTATTTAAGAGGACTATCTCTTCATACTGATACTAAGACTGTTTCATCTTCAGTTGTTTCTCACTTTCCCAAAAAGTCTGAATGTTTTTTGCCACCCATTGATGCAGATAACATAAATCCAGATCTAAAACTTGTAAGTATTATTGTCCTTGTGCATTAATATAATCATTATATTGCAAGTGAGTAGGAAAGGGGACAATTTAAAGTGCTGTATTTGCGTGTTTTTGTAAATAAAATTTTACTTAGGAATACTTTATTCTCAAAACTTTCTAGGAATTTTAAAGTGCAAATAAACAGCTCTATAGGATTCAAATATCCTTATTTTTGTGTTTCATGCACATAAATTGTAAGAAACACAATTTGTGTTGAATATTAAAATTTAAAGAGCTCATTATGTCTAACAGCCAATAATATTTGTATTTTTTAGACCAGAAATTTGTTCACATTTTTTGGTTCTGATATGAAATGTTTAAATAGAGGTGAATTAGTTTTTAAACCTAAGACACCAGCTTCCCGTCCAAATACTAGTGCTTCCAAAAAGGTATATTACTTCATTTTTTTTCAACTGTGTATTTTCTTTTTTAGACATTTAATTCAAAGCTTACATGTACTTAGATAAATTTTATTTTGTGGATGTGTTTCTTCAACATGTTTATTATAATTCTCATTTTTTATTTAAGGAAATTTTGTGAAATTAAAGATATTATTTAATAAGCTAATTATAAATCTACATGTATTTCTTGTACAGTTTCTAGTTGTTGTTATTATTTTTTTAATGTTTGTTTTATTTGCCAAAAGTTTATTTAATCAAATGTTTTGTTTTTCATATTCCTATATAAAAATTTCTCATTGTATATAACTTGTTTTTTATGCTCTAATGTTGTGTTTCCAAACTTTTGCTTACCAGAATCTTTAAGACTTTACATGAATTTAAAGTAAATTCGTAAAGGAATAAATATTTTCGGCTTGGGACAAAAAATTTCATACATGTATAGTGAGTAGGTGATAAACTGTTTTGGTTAAAGTATGCTGTTCTGGAAAGGTTTAAGTAGATCTATTTTGAAATTGAAGTTAAAATATTTAGTGTATAGTGTACAAAATAAAATAGGAAAAGAAAAAAAAAAACAGAACACCTTAATACCTTTTGATCTAAGAATTACATCATTAAGGTAATATGCTGGTATGTTATAATCGAATCCTTATGCAGAGGATATTTTCATTTTCGAACACAAACGTACTTTTTCCGAACACAATCGTACCAAACACAAACATACTTTTTCTAAATAAACATACACTTTTTATGATGGATTTGAATTTTTGACACTCAAAATATAGAGGTAGACGTGATCTAGAAAAGATGTCCTAAGACTTTGATCTTAAGAGTGGTAAAAAGTTTGGACCCTTTATTTTTAATTTTTCTTTTTTGTGTATTTTCCATATCTATAGAACTATTTAAGANAAGCGAGTAGGAAAGGGGACAATTTAAAGTGCTGTATTTGCGTGTTTTTGTAAATAAAATTTTACTTAGGAATACTTTATTCTCAAAACTTACTAGGAATTTCAAAGTGCAAATAAACAGCTCTATAGGATTCAAATATCCTTATTTTTGTGTTTCATGCACATAAATTGTAAGAAACACAATTTGTGTTGAATATTAAAATTTAAAGAGCTCATTATGTCTAACAGCCAATGATATTTGTATTTTTTAGACCAGAAATTTGTTCACATTTTTTGGTTCTGATATGAAATGTTTAAATAGAGGTGAATTAGTTTTTAAACCTAAGACACCAGCTTCCCGTCCAAATACTAGTGCTTCCAAAAAGGTATATTATTTCATTTTTTTTTCTACTGTGTATTTTATTTTTTAGACATTTAATTCAAAGCTTTCATGTACTTAGATAAATTTTATTTTGTGAATTTGTTTCTTCAACATGTTTATTATAATTCTCATTTTCTATTTAAGGAAATTTTGTGAAACATGTGAAATTAAAGATATTATTTAATAAGTTAATTATAAATCTACATGTATTTCTTGTACAGTTGTCATTATTATTTTTTTAATGTTTGTTTTATTTAACAAAAGTACATTTAATCAAATGTTTTGTTTTTCATATTCCTATATAAAAATTTCTCATTGTATATAACTTGTTTTTTATGCTGTAATGTTGTGTTTCCAAACTTTTGCTTACCAGAATCTTTAAAGTAAATTCTTAAGGGAATAAATATTTTCGGCTTCGGACAAAAAATTTTATACATGTATAGTGAGTAGGTGATAAACTGTTTTGGTTAAAGTATGCTGTTCTGGAAAGGTTTAGGTAGATCTATTTTGAAATTGGAGTTAAAATATTTAGTGTATAGTGTACAAAGTAAAATAGGAAAAGAAAAAAAAACAGAACACCATAATACCTTTTGATCTAAGAATTACATACTAACATGCTACCTTAATGGTTCAAGGAGTTGCATCATTAAGGTAATATGCTGGTATGTTATAATAGAATCCTTATGCAGAGGATATTTTCATTTTCGAGCACATGTACTTTTTCCGAACACAATCGTACCGAAACACAAACATACTTTTTCTAAATAAACATACACTTTTTATGATGGATTTGAATTTTTGACACTCAAAATATAGAGGTAGACACGATCTAGAAAAGATGTCCTAAGGCTTTGATCTGAAGAGCGGTAAAAAGTTTGAACCCTTTATTTTTAATTTATCTTTTTTGTGTATTTTCCATATCTATGGAACTATTTAAGAGAATTAAAAAAATTATGTTTGTACACAATTGTAAAATTCCTTTATCCAAAGATACAAATTATGATTCTTTAAAATTGCATAGTATTATTGAATTTTGAAGCTGCCAAAAAAAAATTTTGTTTAATACTAAATGTCAAGATGATATGTGACGATTTTTTTATTTTTAGTAATTAAAATCTTTTTTTGTACAATTTGTTTTTTTTCCTTCTAAGTATATTTAAATTTTAAATACTCCATCCTAATAAATTTAATCTCATCTTTTTTTGTATTTAAAGCGTTTCATCATCTTTCTTCTTTTTATGAGTCAGCGTAATTTCACTCGACATTTTCAAGGTTAGTTTTACTCCCCACCTTATTTTATATTTTCTTTCATTTTACTTCGTTCCCATGAGATTTGTCATGTACTGTCTTTTTGGGGGCATGTTCTGACCGGTTCAAACCAGTTCACGTGCTTTCCCTTACACTATGTGACACCGCCTACTATTCAGAGATTTTTCTTCCTTACCATATTTGGTATGATGGTGAGTCCCAGTTTCCTTGATAGGCTCAACTCATTAGTCCGGTGCCTTTCTCTCATTCAACTATCGTCTTTCTTTTCAGGATGCTCGAATGTTCCTGCTCTTGTGAAAACGCCATTTCTCGTCACTTAATTTTTCTTTGGGCTGGCTAGCTGACCTGTGATCAGCGAGCCAAGCCGAGCTGATAATGGAGTTTTTTTTTTCAAGAGGCTTCCTTTTTTTATTTTAAAGAATTTTTTTTTTTAAATGATTGCTTCCATTTAATATTTTATTTTTTCTGGATGTTTTTCCGCAGCAAAAAGCCGATATCCCAGTTTGTTTGTGGAACTTTATATTCTTATTACATTTTTCTTGAAGTAAGAGGCATTTAGAACCGGCTTCCTGCGTTCGTGTTTGGTTTTCATTATTGTGCTTATTTATTGGAACTATTTGGTGAACTAAATGCTTGCTGAAAGTTAGCTATCTTCATCTACCGGTGTTTTACTGCTCTACAGAGAGAATTGCAGGTTATCTTTTCGTTGCTTGAAAATTTTTGATTATCTTAAGAAGTGATGCATTTTCAAAAAAAAACATCGGAAGTGTCTTCTTGTTAATTTTTGAAGAAGAAACTGAATGTACTGTTACATAGAATATCTGCCATTGTTTTTTTAACTAATCTACATAGTGATCAACCGGCGATGGAAGTGCTTAATCTGTAATCAAAGCTATTTTGCGTTGTGCAATTTTTATCGATGCTAACATAATAGGATCAACTAGTGCACAAAAATATTTTTTTTCAATATTGAATACGCTATTCTTGTACTTTATTGAAAATACAAATTATATATACAAGGGTGATTATGAGCCCAATTCAAAAATCCTGAAAATTTCTTGTGTAAAATCATGCACAGATAACGCATTTCAAAAAATTAATGTCTTAATAAATTTAAATCATTGGTATTTTTACAACATGAAATTCTTAATAAACATAATATAAATGAATAATTATGTATAAGTTAACATGTATCTCTAATCACATTTATTATTCTACCGGAAAAAAATATATACAAATGAAAAAGATGCCAAGTATAAATTCTAGTTCTAATATTTTTAAATAAAATATACAAGAATTTTTATACATAAATGCAATCGATGATTTCTTGAAACTTCCGGATCGCGGTTGGCGAAAAATCCGAATTTTTCAGGAGCACAATCATCTTTGTATATAAAAACCTATGATGTTGGATTGCTTCAGTTTGAGCAATTCTCTTTCTGAAAGCATTTGTTAATAACCACACAATTACATGTTTTTTTTTAATAGTACACAATGTTAGCATAATAAAATATGTATATTTAGTTTAAGGTATATTGATTAACATCATTACATAATAATTTGTAATTGACATAAATATTTTGCATATATAACATAAATATTTGGTAATTGCAATTAATTTTTTGAAAAAAGAATAAAGTTTTAAAGTTATTTTAGTTTGCAGTTGAAATTAAGTAAATTAAATTTAGCATAAAACGGGCACTATTTCTAAAAGCTTAGATTGAATTAGTGTCTTTTAAGATACATTAACAATTCCAAAATTTAACATTTTATTTAACATGGTGAAAGTTACTTAAGTTTTAAAATAGTATACCTTTAGGATATATAGAACTAAATCCAGTTATATGGCTATGACAGTTTTTGTAGGAGTTGGCAGACATTGTAAGAAAAAGTCTCAATTCTGTAGCAATGCCTAGATGCTACTATTATTTTTCATAGTGTATTATTTTCGCTTAGCCATATGCTACAATTACATAAATTTTTTTCATCTCTAGAGAAAAGTATATACAAATAGAAAATAATTTTATCTCAATATACATTTTTATAGAATATGCATTTTTATCTTAAAACGTTTGTGTAAACACTATTAAAATTAAAGTCTCAATGATTTTAATTTGTTATATTTATACTACCAAATTTTTTCAGAGTATCAAGCAGTCTGATAATTTAAGCTATAGGTTTTTGACTGATAATTATTCTTCCATTAAAAGTGAGTAATCTTTTCTATCATCTAAATTGCATTGTTGCAACATTATCTAAAATGTTTCCTTTCTTTTCATAGAAAACTGTATACTTGCTTATTCTGTGCTCAGTAAAAATAAAAATTAATCTTTCTTCAATGAAACTAGGATATTTTTTTATTATTAACCTTTTAGGATTAAATAAATGAGTATCTGAAAAATCTAAAACCTTAACTTTAAATACTAATTCAATTTTTTTAAAACAAGGTTCTTATTTCCTGACATGAGTCTGTGGCTTAAAATGCATATAAAATTTTACTGTAGTTAGTTTTCGTTGACATTGAAGAAGCTAAACTGAAAAATTTTATTAAATTAATAGTAATTCAACATTAAAAAAAAATTACCTGGCTGCAAAAATTTTTTTATTTTTTTTTACAGTAAATAGTTTTTACTAAACTTAATTATTCAAGGGAAAAAAATGAACTTTAACCTTAATGTTAAGTAACTGAAATAATGATGGCTGCATAACATTTTTAATAAATATTTGCAAAATTTTATATTTTCTTCATTTAGTTGCTTTTACGAAAAGAGAGTGAGGGGTGCAGGTAACAAAACTTTTCGAAAACAGCTATGTAGAATATCTCTTAAATATTTCTCCATGCAAAATATTTTATTTACTTCATTTGATTGCTTTTATGTTATGAGAGTGAGAACATGTAGTATAATTTTTCTAAAAAGCTATGATGGCAATGGGAGTTCCTTTTTTTTAATATATGAAGAAAATGTATTTTAATATTTATAAACGATTATTATTTATCAGTTGATTACAGTGCTTTTAAAAAACGTAATACATACACATGCTTTAGCAGCATTCCAGTATTAAGATCTAAAGCTCTTTTAATATTAGAATGAATCAAAACCTTAATTAATGGATGAAACTTAGTGCTATCATATTGGATTTATTTGTTGCAAACTAGAAAAAAAAGCAGCAAATCATACTGCATGTAATGTTAATATATATCTTTCTTAGACTTTTAAATTTCTGAGTTTTATGATGCATCATTATTTATTATTTTTAAAAATACACAAAGAAAAAAAAATCTTTTGCCTTACTCTAAGATATACTTTTTTCATGATTTTTGTCTGATACATTATTTTTTAACAAAATAAAATTTTTATTGCATTAAAAAAAATTATTGTCAAAGGTAGCCTTGAAAACTTTTTTTATGTATTCAAGATTCTCATCCTGCTGAAGTAAGAAAAGTTGGTGACAATTGTGATAAACAGTTAACCTTATTTCCAATTGTAACTTCATTAGTGCCTAGCAAAGAAAAAACTTGTAGTAGTGCAAGAAAAAGTAAGTTTCAATTAATTCATTTGTTAACTCTGTGTCAAATACTGTGAACTTTACAAACTAAAAGGTGCCCTGGAATTCTTACAAGTCTAGAATTTCAAGTTACAAAATGTTGCCAAAAAAAATATTAGGACAGCTGACAGTTAAGAGTTTTAAATAGGAGTATTTCTCAAAAGAACTATGTCTTCATTGGTGAGTAATTTCAAATTTCGGAGATCAGAATTGGCAATATAAATCATGCATTTTAAGGTCTTTGTATATTTCTTTGATTTTTTTTCTAAGTTTTGTGCCAACAAGCCCCCAAGTACCCATTACTTCAAGAAGAAAATCAGGCATGTATTAACAAGATTTGATATTTAATAGCATTGAAAATTTTATAGTTTATGTAGAGACCATATACTTGATATACTATTCCATATATCGTTTAAAAAAATTGAGTTAAAGAGAGCAAAAATTAAGTAATTAAGAATAATTAACATGAAATCGGAAATAATAAGACCTCATAAAAATATTGAGTTTTAGTACAATATTTAGAATAATTGTAAATTGACTGAATAAAGGAAAAAACACGAAGAAAAAGCTAAGAAATAGTTTTTAATGGATGTAAGTATATGAAGAAATATATAAAATAACTGAATTGGTAATTATAAAGAAAGCTATTGCATTTGTTTAATTTATAAACATAAAAGTTGGTGAAGTAATTATTAATTTTATATAATTTACTTTATGTCTCTTACTGACAAGTTGCTATTTTTTAAAATTGTTAAAAAATTTATTCTTTCAGATTTTTTGAGCAGTTTGAACGAGCGAAAGAGGTGACCAAGGAGAATCAATTTTAATTGTAAATATTTTCATAAAATGATTATGAATTATTTTTATGTATTTGTAATCTCCCATGGAGAGCCTAATCAAAGTTTTTATAATAAATATTTAAAAAAAAACACAATTGTTTTTCATATTCCTTTAATTTCATAACATGACATAGAGGATAAGTAGTCTAAATACTAAAGAATTTGACATATTTTTCTTCAAAAATTAATGTTTCGAAACCTTTATTCCTGGTAGATTATTTTTGCTCCCCTCCTATAAAAGAAACCTTTCTGAGATCAGGCGCCCTACAATGAACTGAAGAATCAAAATTGACTTACCTCAAGGAAACCTAAAACTGGAATCTGAGATTCCTTGCTTCTCCTAAACAGTACAACGAAAAATCAAGGAATCGAGTTCAAGAATCCATTTTATATCTGGATCCAGTTATAAGATTTATATCTGGCAATATCTACTCTTATTTATTCATTTTTTTTTTTTTACTTTTTACATCAAGCTTTAGCTTTTAAAATTAAGATATTGAGAAAGATAATATATTTTTTCTACAACATTGAATAAATAATCATTAATTAAACAAAAAAAAAAAACTTAAAATATTGCTAGAAAACTTTAAAAGAAATTGAAAAATATATCCACTTAATTCAAACACTAAATAGAATGTTACTTTTATCATTAAGGCACTTTTCAAAAAAATTAACAGTTGTGATAAAATGGGTTAATTTAGATTTGATTTAATATGATTCACACTAAAATGATTGAAATCTATTATTTAATCTAATTTAAATTACATTAAACTTCTCCCTCTATTATAAATGCTGCTCAAATTTAAAGTATACAATAATATCAAGAATAAAATTATATAATAGAATATTTACTTTTTGTTTTATTAATTTCTAAATCATTTATCATAATTTTTTTGACAACCTCATAAATTGCTTTTAAATAATTTAATATTTTTTTTGTCTTAATTAGATAATAAATTTTGATTATATTTATCTTGTATATTTTTGTCTGATAATTACTTTAATTTCATGCCTCTTATCTCCTCAATTGAATATTCTCCATAAATAATTAGTATTATAAAGAAACTGGTACTATTCCTCTTAAATATTAAAATAGAATTGTTTGTGTGATTAAGAACACTTTATGGACACCGTTGATTATTAAATTATAACAAAAATACAAGCACAAAAGTGTTTAACATCATTCTAATGATAATTCCTAAAGGAATCCTGTTTACACCAAGCCCTCAGCTAGTAGAAAATTTTTCATGGAATTGAGTTTCATGAAGGAAACCAGTATTCATGGTGCCAAAAAAATTGTTCTTCGAATTAACGCAGTTTGTGGTAACTCCTTAGAAGTAAAAGTCAGAAACTACCTCAATGAAAATATACATTTCTTCAATTTTGTGCTGTTGTTCTAAGCTGTTTAATTAGTATCCTAATTTTTAAAAAAAAATTTTTTTGAACTTCTTAGACCAAATTTTATTTCCATTTTTTTAATTAAACGTAATTTTATATGCTCTATATAAAATTTTATAGTTTTGAATCAGTATCGATTAAACACCATCAAAGAGCTACAATTGTCAAACTTCCAAAGGGGAGTAACCACCCTCTCTACAGAGGATCATCCCACCATCAATAGCCCATTGTGCAGCTTTAGCATGACGTAAATAAAGAACTTACCTACCTAAAATACTAATATTATACATATGTGCTAAATAACACAAAAGTTTACAGAAATGTATGACATATATTTTGATATTAAATACAATGTAATTATGATCATTAATGTATTCACTTTCGAAGGCTACATTCAGTGCCAGCGGAAGACATTTTCGCGTCCAGGGTGATACTAAAACTCAATTTAAAAAAAATAATTGGAATTTTTTAAAAATAATTTTAATTGTTTCGCTAGTGAAGAAAATTGCTTTTTTTTAAAATTCTGTATCTTTTTTCTTAATCAACCCTAAATGCTCATTTAGGAAACATCTGAACAAGATAAATAACAATTAACGCATCCAAGGGTAAAAAAGAAATCCGTTAGTTTAATGAGAATATTAATGCAAGTATTTTAGATTGAATATTTATTACAGGTAATATTTTTATTGTACATAATCTTATATGGCATACAAATATATAAGCAGAAACATTAAAATTTATTTTTTCGTGCTATAACAGTGGCAAACAAACAGTTTTATAGACTCCTCAAAATCAATTGTTTTTGCGATTTTATTTTCGATAATTTTTTTTCTTCATATTTTGCATTCAATATGTCATAATTTTGTTCAAAATTAATTTTTAAAAAATGAAAAATTGCTGTCGTCGACTGCTGTTAAACAATTTATAGGTTTATAAAAATTTTTATGCGTTTATAAACTCATTCACTGATTCGACTATTCACTAAACTAACCACTTCAACTAAAATGTCTTTCAACGACTGGCCAATAAACAAATTCAAAGCTATTTATTGCTGACTCGTTAATACACTTGTTCACTGATCCATTGAGTGGTTTCCTAACATTGCTCATTCTTACTTTATTCACACGCTATATCTAAAATCGTTCATGGTAACAGTTCTCACTATGAAGTGAACTTGTAATAAAATATTTAAAAAGTATACTATCTGAATAAAAACCATTAAAAATGACCTCATATAAAATGCATTAACAAAAGAACGGATGGTCGTTATAGTAATAGGAAAATATTAAATAATGACACTGGGGAACAATTTCTTTTTCTGTTACATAAGATTTTTTTTAACAGATATTGTTATTTTCAAATTGCTGATTTCAGGCAGATTCATTGCTGATAATTAGTTTCTCTCTCCAAGCTATAGTTTTTTTTAATGACATTTTATGGCTATTTTTATTTAAATAGTGTCATTTATTTTGTCGAAATAATGTTATTATTTTGTCTGTTTTGTCGCATAAATACTGCAACAAACTTTTAGGGGAGTTAGGGCACATCATCAGGATTAAAATTGCATAGGTACCTATGTCTGAAAATGATGTCATAAGCAGCTAGGAGGATTTTGCTATTATGAACTGTTCGTGTGCTGGGAATAGGGAAGCACTTATAGCGGCGTGTGATAACGTTTTCGTACACGAGTTTAATTCTGATGTTTTCAGATTTGAAATCCCTACAAATTAGACAAGATCAAGTATTTGTATAAATGCAACATAAAATTTGTTCCCAAGCGTTATTGCTATCAAACAATTTTAGGGAAAGATTAGATATTCTCTACTCAGACTAATATAGGTATATAAAACTATGTATATAAATAAATAAAAATCTACATGAATGGAAACTACAACAATAACAAACTTTTAGATAAATAACGAAGTTATCCAGCAATTATTTGTGGATAAAAAGAAGTTTTAGATTAGCCTCCGTGAAAATCTTTTAATTACTATTTTAAATATATATCAAAAGAACAAAATATATGAAATCTTGTTTCTAATTTACCCCCATTTTTAAAAAATTCGCAGTGATTTGGATGAAATATTTAAATTTGAGAAGAAATAGGAGTATTTTCAACATTAAATATTAAGATTTATATCAAAAATTTCACATTATATTAAGACTGCATTTGATAAATAGGTTCACATGTAATACATATCCAAGACCCATATCTAACACTCTCTTGAACGCACTCAGTTTTTTTAAGAAAATTAATTCTTATTTTTTCTTTCATATTTGTAAAAATAATAATTTAAAATGTACAAAAGACATTTTTAAAATTCATTTATTTTTTAAAATGTATTACAAAAAGGGAAATTATTCTTTAATAAAATAATTGAGCTGAAAGGACCATATATTGTAAAATAATGAATGGCACATCGATACATAGCGTTAAAAAAAGTCATTCTTTTTTTTTATCATTGATTAAAGAGTAATTTAATGTAATACAATTTTTTTTTTCGATTGAGAACTTAACTTCCGAAGTGATGTTTTATTTTTTAACAATTTCTCCTGTTTTCATAAAATTAACAAGACATATCGCTCAAATTTAAAAGAATGAATGCATTCTCTATAAGACCCTCTCCTGGTTTTTATTTAAATAGAAATTTTAATTATCATTTAGCATACTTAAATAGAAATCCCACACCCCTTGGAAAATGAATTGTTTCTATTCAATGTCAAACAAGTAGCTTTTCTGCAGTGCAATGTTCATTTTCTCCTTGAACTTAAGAGAGTAATTCTAAGAATATATAATTAAAAAAATAAAGCTATAAATATAGTTTTCACGCACACAATATAAGTAAAAAAAAAGAGGAAATTAAAAATTTTAAGAACATTAAATTTGGGTTTCATTTGGCACCCCCCTAACCATGCGATCACCTGCCTTGCCTCGTCTCAGAGGATTTGAGGCATCCTGAAAAAAGCTGGTTAGGTTTTTTTTCCACAAAATTTCAATATAAGATTGATTCTTAGCTCATAGGGTCTATTTAATTTATCATCAGAACATGCATACTTCTTTTTTTAACAGCTTATTGGTTGTGTCTTACTTCTTGTAAAGTTAGCTTTATTAATCTTTGAGAAATTCTTGATTATGTTTAAAATTGTTTAACTGCTTCATAAAATTCTAAATATATGTAAATAGAGAAGCTTTTACTTTATTGATAAAGTAAATTTTTAGTTTATGTTCAGGGTTGCTTTTTTAATAGTCTATTTGCTCACAAATTCCTAGATGGAATTATCTAGTAAATAAAATTAATTTTGCAAATTAGATACTAGGAACACCACTCACTAAACTCTCTAAAAATTATTTAATGTATTTGTGAAAAATTCCAAATGAAAGATATTAAATTATATGAGTTGATTTGGAATGGCATAAGCACATTCAGTTTTTTAAGCATTAATCTGTACACTCAATCCTTATGCATCTGTTTTAATTCTTAAATACAATTTAATATTTTAATCATAAAAAATTGATTTGAATGTATAAAAACTGAATATTGTTGAATAAAATGTTACATTAATTCTATCAGTAATAGAATGGCATCAACATTTCAGTGGAACTGAAACGAAAATAAGTTTTCAAAATGTTCACTAAGTAAAGCATTTACTCATTTTTTAAAAAAAAATGTATTTATTCAGATCAGATTGTACAAAGAAGAATTAAATACACTAATAAAATATTTACATTTTTTAGTTCCTTGCAACACAAATTTCACCTAAGTAAGAAAGGAAAAAACATTAATAAAGAAAAAAAAATCAAAAATTACATTTCAATATTGTTATTATACAATACAAAATAAAGGGGCATGATAGGCAGACAACATCTCACCTAATTTGTATATTCAAGTGTATTGATATTGTACTTTTATTAAAAGTTTAAACAAACAATATTTCGACAAAGGCACAATTATTTAAGTTCAAACTTTTCTTAAATGTTTGTCTGATTGATCGGTATTTATATTTTTCAGTTAATTAATTTATTTTTTTTTTAATTTATCTTCGCTAGTAGAACATATTTTTATGGTCACATTGACATTTAGTTTCATTATGGAGATTAAATGTTTATTTGACCAACATCTGTATATAAGCCAAATTCATATGCATAATATATTTCTTTGTTAATTTTTCCTTTCTAATACTTAAGTATATAGGATTTGAAACCTTCTCGAACGATTGAAACAAAAACAGCTTTTTCCCCGAATGAAGTTTTTTTTCTTTTACCTTTTCCTGAAAAATGATTTTGAGTTCTTTCTAAAATTTTGCTGGCCAGGGGTCTGTCTAGGTTTTTTTTAAAAAGGGTTTCTACTTTGTGAAAATTTAGTCATAATTTGTGAAAATTAAATAAAAATATCAACACAAAAATATGGTTAAGTAGGAAATATAGTAGCTACAAAAATTGTAACTACAAATAAAAATAATTTATGATTGGTAAATTTCTATATATATTTCCCCATATATTCAAATGAAAGTTCTAATGATAAATATGAAAATATATATATATCGTTCAGTTACACATTGTTTATTCTACCACTCTTTGTTTTTCTTAAAATCTTTTTAAGCTAAAATAAGTATTTTTTTTTTAAAAAAAAAAGCTTTATATTAGCAAATTAAATTATTAACTGTAACTTAATGTTAAGTTCATTGCAACAGTCCTCTTGTCTTCTGAATTGAATAAAAACTTAGGGTCTTATAGATTTAATATTAAGAGCTGAACATTTGGCTGGAAATCAATTTTTGAAAATGAAATATACTAATCACAATTTTTAGTACCAATAGCAATATTAAAAAACATTCTAATGAAAGTTATAATTATAAATATGAAAAAATATATATATCGTTCAGGTGCACATTGTTTATTCTACCACTCTTTGTTTTTCTTAAAATCTTTTTAAGCTAAAATAAGTATTTTTTTTTAAAAAAAAAAAAGTGACATTTTATGGCTATTNCCTTGTACTTCGGGTTCGATAAAACATCGATTAACGTCACTTTTCGGGCGATCCAGAAAACCGGGAAATTCAGATATCCGGGATAGCGATGGTCCCGAGCATCCCGGATAATTGGTTCTCTACTGTATTAGCAAATTAAAAAATTTTTTTTTTAAAGTAACTAAAACTAATTTATTATTTTTAATAAATCAACTACTCAAAATAAATAAAACAAATATGTGAAGAAAAAAAAAAGAAATGCATTTTTGAGTTGCAGGAAACTTTTTAACAGTCAACTTTTTATTTTTCCTTACTTACCACATTTTCATTAATCACTATCTTCCGAATGCTCTACAGTTTCACCACATTTAGCACACACATCCAATTCCTCACTGCATTCTAGACAGATTGTATTGTAGGCTCTTTTAACATTCTTCTTTTCACATTTTATACTGTAACAAAAAGTATTATTTATTGTCGATGCATATTTTCAGGAACAAAAAAACAAGTTTGAACAAGATAAAAAAACAACAACATAGGGAGTTAAAAAACATCTATGAGATGATTTGATGAAAGCCTAGAGTTACAAAGATTAAACTAGAATAAATTTCCAAATATCGGAAAATAGTAGGATACTAGAAAGAGCATGAACTAAATCACAATTTAAAATTTCAGAAGTTGAAGATCAGTGTTGAATGATTTTACCAGAAGAAAACTCAAAACTGAAACTAGAATTCCAACAATGTAGAGCAATGGAAGATGTGTTAATATCCTGATTTTGGACACATCTTTGGTGATCTTAAATTTAAAGGGTACACTTAATTTGCCCATGTTGAATGGAATTTGATAAAAATTCCAGTTATTAATATCAACAACAGGTCCTTAAGGTTAGTGAAATTCAGCATGTTTATAGGGGAATAACGACTTTAAACTCAACTTATTCAAAATCTAAGCAAATTGGAGACTGATAATCAGATAATAAGGTAATGAAATTATTAAAGTTTGTTGGAATGTGTGGTTAATTTTCTATAGATGGAATCAAAAACATTCAAAGGAAAACCACGGTCTACAGCGACACCTTTAAGGTAAAGGAGTTCTTCATTGAGGAGATTTCCATATCCTGATCTGTGGCAGAATAATCGCCAAGTCTTGGTAACTTCCGGGCAGCGGCCCGCAAGAAACTAAAAACATCACAGACAGGGACCAACTTGAAATGTATAACTCATAGTCACCCATGGGTAAATATCTACAAGTTTTTAAAAAAAAAAAAATTGCAAGTTTAAAACCTATTTGGTAGCTTTGCGATTGTAGTTGGCGCAACAGATCCTGATACGGGTATATCCCTGATGAGATAACTATTTGAACAAATTTTAGAAGCATAAGTGAAAGGCAGCTATTTTTTTGGCAGGGACATGGGATGAAAGGTCATAAGGAGGAGTGAAACCGCTTGCAATTTTCCATGTAGATTAGTGAGAAATTCATCACAAAATCAAGTAATATGAATATGTAAGAAAGATAGACACTTAATATTCCCTTATTCAACCAAGAATTTTAAAACTACAATTCACATAAAATAAAAGTAATAATAATTTGCATATAAAAAACGATATTATAAGAAATTATTTTTAACAGGTACCATATCACAAAGTAAATCTTTGTAATAATATATCCCAAATTACAAATAACAACTCACAAAGGTAGGTTCAGGGCAATAATAAGGAACTGATCTAAACTACAAAGTAAAATAAGGTATTAGGTTTACAAACCATTTTCCAGGCACTGTTAGAGGCTTATACTTTTTATATTTTATCTTCCAAGAAATAATAGCTTCACATCGAGGACATAAAGCAATTAATTCTAAATTATTTATCATTTGAGTTTTTTTAGTTTTATCATATCTAGCATTATTAAATTTTTCAGAATTTTTGTATTTCTGAGGTCGTGTTCGGGCAGTATTGCCTTTTTGTGTACTCATTCCAAAGAACCACTGAAAAAAACAAACAAATAACCCTTAAACTAACTGAACAAGAATTTCTCGATTTAAAAAAATATATAAAATCTAAATTTCTTGATCTTGTTCGCTTTCAAGAACGAAGCACGTTTTGTTTGTTTACATTTAAAACAGGTGAACATGCGAATCTGCAAGGGAATACGCGAATTATGGACGGCGGTCACAGGGTTTAAATCGTTTGACTGAATTGCTTTAAATTTAGACTTGTTACGAACGACAATGATTTCAATAGTTTGAATGGTTGAAATGGAAAATTTCATAAAAATAACGATTAAAATATTAAATATATGAAGATAACGATTTGAATTGTTTTCCGATATGAAAATCCGCTATCTATTTAGCCTCAGCTTTAATTACTGCTGCCTACATCTAAACTTTCGAAAAGATTTGTTTTTTTTTAAGAGAAAAAAAAAATAAAAAAACCTTCTTTTCGTTGTAATGTTTATATCTACATTGAATTGAATTTACTAGTACACTTTATTTATTGTTTTTTATTCTCTTGCTGAAATATAATTAAATATCGTCTTTTATGATCTCTTATATTTATAAACATGTTATCTTTCTATTGATTGCATTATTTAATGTTTATTTTTTATATGAGAAGTTGCTTTATATGTTGTGCTAATTAATTGACGTATATATAAATTTTGGATAATGTAATGATTTATTCGGTATGTCATTTGTTTAAAATTGTGATTTCACTCTTGATGCTGAAGTAAAAATAGTAAATAAACGTCTTAGAATGATATCTAGTTTGTTCCAATTATTTCATAAAATTATTCTATCTCCGGTAGGATATTCCTCCAAAATTATAGCATTCACATAATTTTTAGTAAAAATTTTATTGATCATTTTCTTACGAGCCACTTCGTATGGTAAAGTATGAAAAAATAATGACATTTGCAGAAAAATCACGAGAGTAATAATAAATTTATTCTGTTATACATTTTTGTATTTACATACGGTGCTCGAAAAAGTAATAAAGAAAATGAAAAAAATAATAAAATTTGTCATGAATTAAAAGTTATTCTCCTACTGTCTGCTGAAGTTAGACAAGATCCATTAAACCGTTAACCCTCAGAAAATCGAGAACCAGAAGGGGACGTATAGGTCTCCACTGGAAAGACCCTAACTGTCCACTGTGCAGAGGCCTGCTGTGCTTGACATTTAAAGCAGACTGCAAACTCCCTACCTCAAAGAACGAGAGACTTCGTGCGTCTAGTTGCCAATCTTGAAAATGCCGTTTATGAGGCTCTATAACAGTTGAGAGCAAACGACAAACCCGGCTCTTTGCCCGCAAATCAGTGGTGACAGGAAGAAGTCCTTCAATCTTTTGAAATTTCAGATTTAACCTTAGATTGATGCCCTAAGTAGGTAAGAGCCAAGGAGGATGTAGAGTGACCGCTTGGCCATTGCCATAGATGTCACCATGGGATGGGATTCACTGAAAATAAACATTGTGTAGCTTTGAAGTAAGTTTAAATTTTGGAAGAATGGAAATGCTTGTTTTATCTCCAACTGTAATTAAGGTGTTAAAGGGAACTGTGACTATCTAGAGGTCTCCGTAGTCACGCTTGTTGAGAGTTAAAAGCTGGGGTAATGTATATCATATTTTAGGAAAGGCATTTCTTTCAGTAGGGAATTGAAAATAATACATATATTAGCTTCTTATTCCTGAAGTATTCATATTTTCTAAATTGTTTAGAAGATTTCCATATCAGTATGTGCACCAAAATAATTGCCAAGCTGTGGCAACTTCTAGGAAGTAGCCTGTATGAAATTTTAAAGAAAAAGAACATTACAAAAGTAGATCAACTAGAAAATTATAATTTGTATTGCAACCGGGCAAACTTCTTTGAATTTTTAAAAAAAAAAAAATCTGATTTTAAATTTTTTTCCGTGTCTTGCTGATTGTAGTTGGCATAAGCAGGTTCCGATATGGAGATATCCGCAAATTTTTTTATAATGGATGGTGATTTTAATAACATCGATTGTAATGTTAATGTCTAGCTGTAGTTTAGACAAGGGGAGGGCCTCTAAGATTCGGATCCCCCCTGCAGTGACAAAAAAGTATGTTACAATTGAATTTTGGGGTCTGAATAGAAATCGTTAACTTTTACAGGTTCTTAGTTAACTCGAGTAAAAGGTAATTTATTCCAGTATCTTGCATATTTACTATAGTTGTAGGTTTTTTTCTTCATCTAGTTAATTCAATTTAAGAAAATATATTTATTCGATTAAACTATTTTCCTCAATCGTTTGATTATGAAAATTTCATTATCTTTACTTATTTTTTAGTTTTTAAAATTGCTTTCCATTACTATGTTTTTATTGCAAGCTGAAAGTAGATTATATATGAAACAAAGACCATTCTATAAAAAGACAAATCTCAAAACTGATGATCCTGTTTTGACACATTTATTTTGTTTTAATACTCCAAAGGCTTGTTTGATAAATGTACACAAAAAATAGTTGAAAACATTATTTAATGTAAATTTAAATAATCAGAAATGCAAAATAATCTTATTTACAAATTGAATATAATGGCAAAAATTGCTTAAATGTGAGAAGAAAAATAATCGAGTATTGTCAGTATTTGAACATTTTTCCTGTCATTAAGTTCATACACTGTTATATTTTTCATATCATGCTTATATAATTTAAAAATTTAGGTACAATGTTACTAAATTGGTTTGGGAGATCATTTTCATTTTTTTCTAATTATTTATTTTTGAAAAAGATCAAACATCTCTATAAATGTTAAATGTAATTGATTTTTTTAATACTCAGATTTAATAAGGTGGTTCTCAGCATGATTTATCTATTCTGAATTAAAGTACATTGCTTTAATGGATTTATTAATAAAATTGACTTACTGTTATATATATATATTATTGCACTTATATTTATAAAATTAAAGATAAAAAATGGTTAAATAAGTACTTCAAATTTTACTATGTTTCATTCACTTTGTCGTCATCTTTATATCCAAAAAGTGTTAGATCCTCACTGAAATAAACAACTGGCTACAATATTGCCTGCTTTGTTATTCTTCGGAATTATTTCATGCATTTTGTTATTAAATTTATCTCCATGTGTTAACTGATGATAATTTTAACCTATGTTTTTTTCTATTTATCTTAAGAGAATCAAAGCGTGCACTGTGCAAGAAATTATTTAGATGTAAAGAAATAGATTACCAAACACTATTCCCATTAACCCTCTGAGCATTAGTCACAGCTTTTCCAAACTTTTGAATGCCGGCTTTCCTGCACCAAAAAACCGGTTGTCTATGTTATAGAATAGGAAATTACCATGGCTGCCAAACTATTCCGATTTCTTAGTCTTGTTCCGAAAATTTGATTTTTTTTAACTTTTCATCAATTAGTTTTTTCAGGATAAGTTTGTGTTTAATATTGTTTTGAAAATAATTTCTAGTAATAGAAATTTCCATCACACTTTTTCTTACAAAAGTAAATAATTTTAATTAAAAATAGTTATTTTTACAAGTTTTTAGTAAAATAATTTTATAAATATTTCATTATTTTGAAATAATGTGTATTTAGGTTTATTTGGTTTTTCTGTTTATTTTGGTTTATCTGTTGAGGTTAATAACATTTTTTTAAAGTTCAGTTCTGTCATCAAAAACTAGAGAAATGGGCTACATGTTTTATGTTTGTTAAAAAAGTGTAATATTTGTTAATTTTGCCAAGGTTTTTTTTTAAAGTGTGTAAGGTTAGCTACGGTAGAACAAGAACTGTGAATTAATAGATTTTAATACTGATTTTTTTTTGTGCTTAATTTTCCCAGTAATTCATTTGTAATATATATATTATTCCATAATGTATATTATTCTTTTAAAAACTTTTGTAATATCATTTAAAAGAAATTCATTCATGTAAATTGTGTAATTTATTTATGCATTATTTTTAAAATTTTATTTATCTTGTATAATTTTGCATCTTGAGTGAAATATGTTTACAATCCTTAACATATTTATTTTCCAGTTGATAAGAATTTTTCCTTAACTTAATAATGTCAATTTTACAAGTGTAATGGTTTATGATTTAAAATGATACATTATAAGATCAAAGAGTCATATATAAAAAGTAAGCTAATTTCATTTTTGAAATTTAACTATGTAATATTATGTCAGCAAGGATATGATATTGCTTAAAAGGTGACTTGTACTCTTCTATTAGAATTGCATAAATTGCATTTTTTTGCCTCATTCATATTGTGGACACTAACTTTATTATGTCATCTAATTGATTACTTCATATTTTTTTTACAAATCATATTACAGTTTCAGAATGTCTTATCTATTGTCTTGATGAAGATGGTAAAAATGTATGAAAAATTTTCTTTATTTTTTCCCAATTTATTATTCATCTGAAGTATAAAGTGTAAAAAATTTGATGTTTTTTATTAAAATTTACTGTCTTGAATGCAAAAAGTTTTTCCTTATTTCGTATATTTGAAATTATGGTTAGAAAATCTAGGTCTGTCTTTATTTGGTCTTTCAACAATGCATAATGACTTCAACCAGATTAAATATGTTTATTTTTTTTTATTACGTCTTATCATGTTGTTTATTGCAGATAATTCTACTTTTTCTATGTTTAGATAATTAAATTAATTATACCATAATTACATTTTTTTTATTTTTCTTTCTCATTTGCTTTGGTTCCTAATTTATTTTTATATTTTCAGCTTTATTGCAAGACACATTTCTACCACTAAGCCAGGGATTGAATTCTTCAAAGACTGAGCAGTTTTATAGAAGAGTTAAAGTTTATCACTGTAGTTTTTGTTCATATATCACCGATTATAAAACTAATTTAAAAAATCATGAATTAACTCACAGTGGTTTTCGTCCTTTCAAATGCTCAATCTGTGACAAAGGATTTACTCAAAAAGGCAATATGAAAACCCACTTACTTAGACATCATACAAAGTCAGATCAATAGACATTTATGGCTTTACAAATTTTGCAATTTGTAAGTTTTAATGAGTGAAAAAAATTAATATGAAAAATTTTGAAGAAAAATAAATAAAAATTTTTTTTTTGCTTTATTTATTTTTATGTAAGCATTTAGCAATAATTTAAAAGTATTAGTTTAAAAATAGCTTAATAAAAAAAAAGAAGAGGTTTGCCATTTTTACTTTGTCTTTAGCAAAGTTAAGCAATAATGATTTTGTAGAGTATCCAATTAGTAAATTGTTTTCTAGAATTTTTTTTAAGAATTAATTGAATTCAACATAATAAAAGAGTTAAGAAAAGATAAAGATTTTTATAAGTTAACTGGAATTGAATGACTAATTTGTCATTTTTATTTACTATGGATTTTTATTGTTCTAATAAATTGCTTTATAATTATTTTTTGTCCTATAAATTGTTATTGCAAAAGAGGCCATAATTATCATTTAGTGATGTTGATCAGTTATGCCATAAATTTTGTTTTGGTTTACTTTCTAATTAAATTATAGTTTAATTTGTGTTGCCAGTGATTTCTAAAATCACTTTTTAATTGATAATTTTTACTATGTTACATATTATATATGTATTTCATCTATATATTATATGTACAGATCAAGTGTGAAGTACTTCAAATTTTTCTTTCTACGTTTGTATATTGTTTGTTATTTTTCTACATTTTTTAGTTTCGTTGTTGTTTTAAAATGCATATTTTCTACTTTCATTTATAAAATCTCTGGTTTTTGTTTTGTTTATTATGCTCCAGACTCAATGTAAACTACTACAAATTGTTCAAGGGAGAAATTTTTTCATCTTCTTGGCCTATATAAATCTTAAAATTTTTATTTACATTCTTTTATATTTTTATAAAGTATGCATATTTTTATAGTTTTTTTCAATCTACTTTGCTTCATTTTTCAAATTTTGATGGCACTAATTAGATTTTAATAAAGTAGTTTCCACTTAATGTGATCGCAGTTATTGTTATCAATCGTATATTGTTATCATAATCACTCGATCCATATTTTTGCTATTCATTTGTATGTTAAAATTATTGTTTTCTGTGATTATTACACTGTTCAATGTTATTAGAGTTTTTATTTCTTTTTTTGAAAATCATCTTAAGTCTAGTTTAGTAGTATCATCTTAAGTTAGTTAGGGAACCTGCATTTCTCTCATGCAGAATATTGCAAAAAAGTTGATCAAAAAACAGGGTTGCAAAAAGGCATTCCTGAAAAAGACCAGCTTTTATTTTTTTAAAATAAAAAAAAAATGCCGAGCTTTATTGACTTTTTAGTATTTTTTAAATGACCAAAAAAGTAAAATAACATAAGTAAAATATGCGATGCTAGTTTTTCTCTCTTTAAAGAGCATTCATAATAGATAATAAATAGCTAAAAATAGATTTCATAAATAGATCAAATTTTATTAATTTTAATAATGCATTTGCTGCTCCATATTTTCTTCAAAACGGAACATTTTGTTGTACTGAATTTGTTCTAAACCCATAATTCAATCAGTAACTCATCCTAATTTTGCTTTAAATTGATTCAGTATTATAATTTTTTAAAATCCTACTAAATTTTTAAATAAATTAGTCATTTTATATAAAACTGTACAATTTATTCAAAGTAATTATTATATTTTATTTAATAAGTTGAAGAATTAGTATTTATAGTTAATTTTATATTATTCATTCACTTATGCTGCATTAAATTAGTTGATTTCTAATTGTAGTTCAAAATAGTTTAACAATATTGTTCTTAACACTTCCAAGGTAGAAGCTGTTGCTTCAACTATTTCAAAAGTGCACAAGTTAATGCTCCAAATTGTTTCTAATATGAAATCACATCAATGTAGTAATTAACTAACAATTTTATATGTTTTTTATGTTATTAAAATTTTTGAAAAAGATTAGTTCTAATAAAAGTTTTATTTAGTAGGTTTAAACCATAAAATTTGAACTTCTTTTTTTAGTCTTTCTAAAACACGTTAGCTCTGCTAAAAAACTGAAGAAATAATAGAACATCCTTCAAATATGACAACTCAAGAGTGACTTTTAGACGGGAAGTACAATACTGCTTCAATAACTTTAAAGCATGAACAATTTATAAATGAGCTTCTTGGAAAAATTTAGACAATCAACAATTGATGATTTTTTTAAAATTATGTTTAAATTTTATGTTTTAAAGGAAACATACAGTACATAATATAATGAGTTGTTTTGTTTAATTTTATTTTCAAACTTGATATCTATAGCTTAAATTGATTAATTTATTAAATTTCGTGATTCGTTTATTGTTATCAATCAGTTAATTGTTATCGAAATCATTGTGTCCAAACGTGATCACATTAAGTGGAGACTGCTGTATCCTATTTTTATGATAAGTAGTGCTTATTTTCAAAAATAAAATGCTTGTTAAGTTTTTTTTTGTAAGAACTTTAGGGGCATTTCCAGAAACATAATATGACAAAATGTAAAAAAAAAAAATTTTCAAGTGCATGTCCCCAAATTTGTTTATGTATTTTACATTGAAAATAAAATATTTTTATCAACATGGATTTTTGATTAAACATTGTAGACAAACAAGAGGTTGTTATGTAAATATTTTAGAATTTTATTTATTTTAAAGTACTTGAACTGTAAGAAAAAATTAACACTCATTTAATCATCATAGTTTCTTACTAAATCACTGTTAGTAAAATTGTTTATTCTTCTCATTGTTTCTGAATTACAAGTATATTTTTAGGGTATTTAATATTATGTACTTGTGTACTTTCTTTTTTTGTATAAATTGGTTTTAATTTTCTCAGTTGAGAACCAGTGTTGAAAAGTAGATCAGATTTCAATTAAAATTATATTTTTAAATTTTTGCTATCTGCAAAAAACCATGCCACTAGCAAAAAGCTTAAAAAATGGCATTTATATTCATCTTTTTTAATTCTCTAATATTTTTTTTTCAGTAGTGAGTTTCAAAGGTGTTAGTGGAACAAGGTGTGGCTCATTTAAGGAAGTAGCAGGATACGGCAAGTTCAAGTGTAACTTGTGTTCTTATTCTACAAATGTTAAAACCAATTGGAAAAATCATCAGTTAACACACACTGGACTTCGTCCTTTCACTTGCGAAACTTGTGGTAATAAATTCACTACGAAAGGCAGTATGAAACGGCATGAACTTACTCATTCAAACCTTTTTAAAAACTTATATTTATCTTGAATATTTTATATGAAAATAAATTGTTTAGTTTGTTAATATATATATTTAAATTGTTTTTAGTTTTAAAGCTATTGAAGTATACTTGGTAATAATTATTACAAAAAAGTCTCCTTACTGCCAAATGCTTCTCCATTCATTAACATAAACTAAGACCAATTTGCATCCTAGAGAGAAATCAACTGCATAAGCAGTTAAATGTGTAAAAAGTGATAAATTTTCTATTAGTAGCATGTAATTCTTTTTTCTTCTTAACTTAAAATTTTAAAGTTGTTTGATAGTAGTACATTTCAATGCATTTTTGTCTTCATTTTTCTAAAATTTTGTTATTATTTTTAAAAGATTATTTTAATATTTTACTTATTTCAAAAATTTTTTAGACATTTGTTTTGAATAAATGAATTTAAACATTCTAGTTCTTTCCAAATGTTTTTAGACTTCCTTTTGTAATAATAATATTGATCAAATTATATAAAATACTGATATCAAATACAATTACCCATCAGCAAAATTGTGATGTCTGATTTCTAATTTTTGTATTATGCACTAATTACTGATTTAAGTAAATCTTTATTGTAAGTGATAATAACTTATTAAAGATATATTTATTATTTGATGCAATATTATTTATGGCAGAATTTCTGCAATTTGTTTCTAGAGCAGTAATTATTGAGTTCAATAAAGCAACAAAATTTTCAAAAGCAAAGAAACTGACTTCAAAAATTTTATGGAAATTTTGTTAGTAAATGTTATTTGGATTTATTTTATGATATTTTCAATGCGCTTTTCTTAAATGGATAAGGTGTGGTGTACATGAATTGCAAAGCTTGTTAAAATATTAATGATTTAAATTTTTGCTCAGAAGTGCTGCATTTCAATATTTTCATCCAAAAATGAATAACAACTACACTGATAGGTCTGACATGCTCAAAAATACCATACCTGCTTTCAACTGTGATGTTTGAACTGATTCTCCCTACAGTGGACTCCATATACAGTGTTGAATAACAAATCCTTACTTTATTGTATTGCACTAGATACCTAAACTGGCTCTAACTCCACCATCTTCTATATCTTGTGCCCAGTCTTCTCTGGATTGTTCTTTAAAAGTTGCTTATTATCATCAACTCATTTTAAATTTTGCTAGATTATTTAATTGTTTTATATTTTGATTTTTCAGCTATAAGGTTTGATAATAGTTTGGCTAGACGAGGCTCGGTGGACATTGTAACCAGGCGTGAAATCTTTCAACCTAAGTTCAAGTGTCACTTGTGCTCATATTCCACAAACATAAAAACTAATTTGAAGAATCATGAATTAACGCACAGCGGACTTCGTCCTTTCACTTGTACAACTTGTGGTAAAAAGTTCTCTCTAAAAGGCAATCTGAAACAGCATGAAATTATCCATTTGTTAAGACTTTGAAACTTTTTCCTAACATGGTAGTTTTATATGAAAAAAAATCATTGTTCTGTTTCATTCTATTCCATATTTTGATGTTTTTAATATTTTTTTATACTAATAAAAAAGACTTTAAATATTCCTAGAATGTCACTCTTTTTTTTCCTTTATTTTTTTACTGTATATATTCAACTTATGTTTCTTAAAAATGCAAATTTAATAAGTGTGAAAAAATATGGTTATTTTTATTAAATAATGTGATTATTCAAGTTGTGTTGAGAACTGTCAGGTCGAGCATGTGGTAGATTTTCAATGAAGTTTTATTCTACTCAATTTAGCTTCATTAGATATATCTCTTTCAAGATCCTTAAGCTTAGAATAAAAACGATCTGAGATTTAGTAAAAATATGGTATTTTCCTGAAGGATCCTATAAAGCAAGAGAAACGTTTCATGACAAATTCTGTTTCAACTCATTGGTATTTCGAAATTGAAAGTATTGTAAAAAGTAAGTTTTGGTTAATCCAGAATAAAGCATGAACTTTCTCAAAGTTTTTTTCGAAATACAGTCGAATTTCGATCCACTGTTCATGTATTTTTTTCCCCTGTATTCATCATATTATTTTAACAATCCTATCACACTTGCTTTTCTTATAATGCTAACCATATAGATTATTTTTTTAAACTACCCGATTGCCACGTCTATCTAAATAGAAATTCTACTGATATTTTATAAAATTAATTTAAATTAAATCGTTTTAAGATGAAAAACAGTAACTCTTGTTGCTAATGAAGAAGATAAAAATAAACATTTGTTACAGCCGAACCTGACTATTTAAAGATGTTATTGAATAAAATATATTCAAGTTCATGAGAGGATACATAAAAGTCTAGTTTTGAGATAGACTGACCCGAATCCAAAAATTTATGTGCAAAAATGTTTAGTCTGAATCTTTGATGTTTCAAAATATCCTTTAAATTATTTAATCTTGAAAAAGACATCTACAATTTCCAATCCTAAAAATTTTCTCAAAAATAATGACTACATGAAAATTATAAATATGAAATTATATTGTTAAACTATAATGTTTAGCAGTGATAAAGCAATTACTAAATGGTTACAACATCTTTATATTGTAGTTAATTTTAATATTGGTTCAAATAACATCCCTTTTTATGATATTTATTTGGAATCCATGACCAGATTGTTGCTATGAACCTTTAAAAAAATTTGAGATTGTTTATCCACTGGTATTAGATTTTAAAACTTAAATTTTTTCTTTTTAATTTTTTAGCTTTGAAGTTTGGTGATTATAGTATGGTGAAACATGGCTCATTTAAAGTTGTAACAAGTTACGATCTTGATGCCAAGTTCAAGTGTAATTTGTGTCAGTATTGCACAAATATTAAAACTAATTTGAAGAACCATCAATTAACACACAGTGGACTTCGTCCTTTTGCTTGTACAACTTGTGGTAAAAGATTTTCTACCAAAGGAAATATGAAACAGCATTCACTTACTCATGTTACTTTCAAACTTTGAAAAAATACTTACCCTTTCTTGATAGATTTTTATAGAAATAAATTATTCTTTAATTATTCCTCACTTTTGTATAATTACATTTCTGTATGTAAATAACAAAAAAAAAAGGACGCAAAAAGCTTGCCAATCTATCTTCTTTTTGCATGAGATATTTAATTTTAAACTTAATATAGTGCTCCATAAAATAATTACCTACATTTTTTTTTTAATTTTAAATAAATAAGATATTTTTTTATTATTATTATTTATATTTAAATATTATTATAGTATTTTTTTAAAATTATACTTTCATGTTTCACTATTTATTGCTCAATAAATTATATTTGATGACAAAAATAATTAAAGTTTATAAAATTAAGTGAATAATGAGGCCATAATTTCTTGCCGCGAAATTATGGCCTTACAAATTTTTTTAAATTCATTTTAATTATGTGAAAAATGTAAGTTATGTCTAAAAGGATAGCACCTTAAACCTGACTAGTGTGCAGTTGCAGATTGACTTTCTTTTTATGAAGCTAAATTTGTTTTCTATGTGTAAGGAGTCTCAAGATTTTATCAATTTAATTATAGCAAATATTCTTCTGAAATACTCTATGAACTAAAATACTTAAAACGAATCTTATAACCTAAAAATTATGTTGTGAGGTTGGATAAAGGGCATGATATCTTAATTGTGTTATGATTCATTTGACTGCCCATCCCTATAATTTAAAGAGTATTTAACCAGTATTTTGTTCTGGTAATTCTGTATTTTGGTAAATTGTTATTCTTGTACATCTGTGGGTTTTTTTAAATAAAATTTTCTAAATAAATATCTGCCTAACTCGAGTCAATTTAAACTTTTTCAATATTTAGTGTGAGTTGCAATGCATTTGTTTAAATTATGTCAAAAATTCTGATGCCGTTAAAAAAAAACTAAACTTTGGCAACCAGTACAAAGTTTAGTTTACATTCTGAATTCTTATTTTTGTCTTAGCCTTTAAGGTTTTTCAAATTATTGATGAATTATTATCCTAAAACTTATAACATATGAAAAAAAAAATTTTTTTTCTTGTACAAAAAAAGCTTAATTTTCAATTTTTTTCTCATTTAGCAAGTTTTGTTTTAATTTATCACTTTACATATACCAAATACTTCTAAAAGTTATGGTTGATTTAAATCTATATAAAAAAGTTGTGACTGAGGCTATAAATTTCTGAATTTTATAAATAAATTTCTGATTTTTTTATAAATAAAATTCTGATTATTTTTGTCATAAATTTTAATTAATTGAGAAAAAAATATTGTCAGATAACAATTATAAACATAGTGATTAGGAGAAAACATTTAAAAATGTATTTCAAATTGAAGAATATTTAGATGAGGCTATAATTTTATTTACACTGTGGAAGAAAAAATATTTATCTGATGTCTTTATAACTATGTTAATAATATTGATGTACTTTTTACTGTTTGCATTCAGTTTTATCCTTAGTAAATAAACATTTAATAGTGGGAGGGAAAATGTTTCAAAAATGATTAGTGATTAAACAGTTTTGAAAATATGTAATATTCAATATGTTTCATGAAAAGTTAAAAAAATCTGTAAATTCACAAGTGATTTCTATGTATGAGCTATTACACACTTTCTTATAAAACTAATTGCTGACGTATCCCCCCCCCTTCTCGTTTATATTCAATATGTTTGCTGAAGAACAAAAGAGGGTTTACTGTGAAAAAAAAATGTTCTTCACAAATTGTGTTTACTTAGGAATGTTTTAAAGTTTTGTTCAAGTTTATGATGAATAAAGTGTTATTATAATAAATATTAAATGACCTTTTTTTTCAAAATAATATTAGAATATAAACCTTTGTTTTAGTTACAAGATGGGTTGAAAGTAATTTACGAAGATCTAGAAGATTCCATATGCCAGAAACTGAAGATCAGCTTCATAAAAGACACAGATGCAAATTTTGCCCATATTCCACTGACGTTTCTACTCATTTGACTGATCATGAATTGATACATATTGGTGTACGCCCTTACAGTTGTTCCATATGTGGAAGAGGATTTACTCAAAAAAGCAATATGAAGCAGCATACATTGATACATTTTAGAGATAACCAGAAACAAACTTCTTAACCAAGTTAAACCCTTTAATGCCCAATTCTACCAAGTATATTTTGTATATTTATTAACTTCTAATATATATACAACTAATATATAAAAGATATATATTAATATAACTAATATAACTAATATCTGCCCGGCATTATATACACTATCATTGATTGAGTGCCCACATTTTTATTATCGTTTATACTACTATATAATTAATGAATTTTCGCCATTTCCACCAACTATAGAATTTTTGTAGCTCTAGAAATTAATTTCACTTGTGATGAAAAAGAAAATGTATTCATACTTTAATATATTTGAATTTAAAGAATTTTAATTCCACAACTACAAATAGCATGATCTCCCGTGCATAAAATGTTTTTTCTTTGCTGTTATTTTTTACCGCCTTATTTGAAGTAATAGTTTTACCATCTAAAAATTTTTTGTATTGACCAGATTATTATCGTAGAAAAACCATTTTTCGTTCCCATTGATAATACACTTTAAAAATGGATAATTTTCTTTACTTTGAGTAAATCACAGATGCCCATGTTACATGGCGTGGCACCAAAAGTTAGTTCTTAAGAGTCAGTTGCAGTAATTGTATAAACGTTAAATGATTTGTTAAATAAATTTTTGAATCTGTGATTAGGGAAGTATAGTGTGGATAAACATCAAGTTTTTTTAGTTTGTTAAGAAGAGTTTTTTTTCAATAAAGATAATTTAGTGTCTTAGCATTGTCCTCACCCCTGTCAGTTGCAGTACCTTTGACCAGTTTTCTAACATATAAAAATATTATCTCATGAGTACCTCACCTTTTGTATACAGTAAATGTATAAAGTAATTGTATGCCTGAGCATACTTTCTTTTATCAAATTCTGAAATTGACTTGTACATTAAAAACTTGTCATTCTTGAATGAAATTTATAATGAAAATTAAAACAGCTGCTAGAGAAAACTTATGGGGTCAGTGTTGCTTTTGTATACTATAGAACATTACTATTTCACCTATATATGATGTATATTTTTTCACTCAACAATCCTATATAATCCGCTCCGTAAATATTAAGTTATAAATGTGTTTTAACTTTTATATGTGTATATGTTTCAGTTGTGAATTTCGAAGGTGATAGTATGGTGAGACAAGGCCTTTTCAAGGTTATAACAAGACACGAATTCTTTCATGCCAAGTTTAAGTGTAGCTTGTGTCCATATTCCACAAATGTTAAAACTAATCTGAAAAATCATCAATTAACTCACAGTGGACTTCGACCTTTCACTTGTTCAACTTGTGGTAAATGTTTCTCTCAAAAAGGCAATATGAAACAACATGAAATTACTCACATGTTAAAACCTTAAAATAATTTTTCTGTTTTCCTAGCTTTATATTGTGATAAATTATTGTTAAATTTCTTGTTATTTTATACTTATATGCATTTTTTTTTTGTAGGAATGCATTTTTTGTTAATATAGCAAGTATTTTTAATGTTCTGTTTTACTTTACTTTTTCATGTTTTTTACTTGATATATTAATTTATACTCAATAATTTTTGCCTTCTTATCCTTGTCTTTGAATGTCAAATGCTGATAATCTGAATTGATTGATGCTATAATTTACTTCTACTTTACAAGTTGTAAGATAACTCCAATTTGTATACATTTCATTGAAGTATAATTAAGGCCATTTTGAACCTTGATAAGTTTTATTTAAAAAGTAAAAAAGTTAATATCATTTAAAAATTTTGTAACTTTGTGTAATTTTTTGCTTGCCATTTTGTGTCAAAATAATTAAGTCAATGGGATTTGAGAAAAGTGCCAACCCCATGGGCATCGCAAGTATCAAATTTTTGAAAGGGACGGAATTAAAATACACAGTCATAATAATTATCTAAATTTCTCATATAAGAAAAAAATTTCTTATGTCTGAAAAAAAATAACTATTTTTATCTCTTTTTTTTTAACTATGGTGAATTTAAGTCGGATGATTCATAAAAAATTTCTTAACTTGTCTGAATTATTCAAGGGGACTTTTTAGATTTTTCATTGTTAAGAAGGGCATATAACCACTGTCCTTCCCCTCTCCACCAATGATGCTGACGGCCCTCGGGATAATAAAGACCCCAAACTCTCCTTTATAATTTTATGGCAATAGTGTCCATGAAATACGAGTCTAAAAAATAAATGAATAGGTTTGAGGAAAGTTTTTGCGATTTCTATTTGATAAGTTGATACCACTTTTGTTAAATAAATTTCTAAGTTACACTTTTTTGAACATTTGTTATTTAGTTATAGGTTAAATAAAGTTTTTTTGTTTATAAAATATCCATTTTAAAAAAGGACGAGATTCTTGTCTCTATCTGGGACGAGTTGATCTACTGTGGGTCGATTTCATAATAAACCTCGGAGAAGTTTTTGATCTCAGCCTGGCCATGTTTTTGAACATTTATTGAAATGGAAGTTAGAAATATTTGTTGTGTATAAATGAAATGAATTTAAAAAATTGTTTCATTTATAAATTATGTATAATATGCTATGGCTACTAAGTTGTAAATACTTTCCTAAACTAAGTCACATACAGTCCTGTTCCTGTTAAATTATAGTTTGTCTAAAGTAAGATCTCCCCTAGCCATTCGTCTGGACCAGTGGTGTCTAACAAGGTAAAGCTATTTCAAGTAGGGATGTGGGGTAATTGTTTAGGACAGGTTTCTGCTCAGGTCAGCGAGAGATAGGGAATCTTTTTCTTCGGTCTTCTGTGTTAGCCCTAGAGTGAAAAGAAGCTATCTTCCCTGAAATGTGCTATTCTTGTTTTCATAGTAGCAGACGGCCCCAGACTTTGTGGCGAGAGGAGTTCTTACCATAGACAAACTATATGTATAAAATACTTCTTTTCAAAATTAAGAAGTATGGATCTATTTTGTTGAGACTAGTTTACAATGTCCTGATTGCTATATTAAAACTTTATTCTAATATTTATAAGTTTGGAATGAATAGCTTTTCTTTCATTGTTAAATTTCTATTAAAAGTTTTAAAATCATTTGTCATATTTTTGATTTATCTTAAGTCATGTAAGTTTTATTTATTTTTTATATATGCATTTTGATTATTTTATTTTTCATTATTCTCTTTTGAGATAAATTTTTTTTAAGTTTTTCTAGTCAATTAAAAAATGGGAGAAAGATTACAAACTCTTCTCTCAGAGTCTTATGAAAAAATTAATGTCTTTTAGTTATAGTATATCAAGTTCTGTGTTTTAATAATAGAATAGAAATTTTTGCATCAGATTATTTATCTCCTTGTATGCCAGTATTTATTCTGCATTTAAATGGAATACTAAATTATTTATTTTAAAGACATGTAAAACTTTTTTATACTGTTTCAGTTAATCTAATAATGTAAAATATTTATAGAGAATAAATTTTGTTGTGTAAAAATTCAAGACTGCTGATATTGTCCGTTATTTCCATGTCCATGCGCTGTATGTGCTATATTTATTGCTGTCCGATGTTAATGGATTATTAAAACATTAAATTCTTTTATTTTTGTCTTGTAAAGATTTGCGTGTTCACATGTTCAAAACTGCTCATTAAGTTATCTTTCCTGATTTTTTTAAATCTTTGATAAAGGAATTCTGAATGACCAATAGCTATTCTGACATTGCTTGATGTTTTAATTATCTATGGAATTATCTGAATGGCCTGCATAATTTTTTTAACTCTACAATTTTTATCTATATTGATTCCAAAAGACAATATTCTTCCAAGTGAGCTGTATGTTCAGTCCTCTTATGATATTTCAAAATAAAATTTTTAAAGTTTTATTGATTCAGATGTTTAAACATTAAATATGATTTTACAAGAATAATATACATAAATAAAGCTAATGTTTTTGTGCATTGGAGACTAAGATTAAAGATTTTAAAAAATTGATGCAGTAACTGGCAATCTTTAGATTAAAAATTAAGCCTTCAATGGAAATATTTGACATGAATTTGCAAAAAATATATAGCTTTTTAAATATAATTTTTTTGCTGCTATATTAATATATTTTGACCCATGCCCTTATTTTGGATGCACTCTTTGTCACACACTCTTTTACTTTCTTGTTTCTATGTATAGTTTCTTTTTTCAAACAATTTCAAGTGTTTTAAATATTTATTCGATTTATTTTTTGCCATGTTTAAAAGAAATAAATGAAACAAAATTTAAAATATTTTTTTTATTGATTTTTGACAGTATCATAATATATAAGTTGTTCTTTTCAACTTTATTGATAACGATGTTCATTATGTATCTAAGTGTGCAACTTGATATTCCTTTCATTTTGTGTTGCATATTATTAGATATAAAATTGCAATATGTAGCCCCATATCTTTGTTTTTTACTGCATTTACTACATTGCAAAGAGTACACTAATTTACAATAGCCACATTATTTGATTTATTTTTCCTTATATTGATCTGGATAAATCAATATCCAGGTAAATTTTATTTCTATCATTTATGTTAAAAAGAAGAACATAATGGAGTCCAATTCTTATAATACTTTTTCTGATAAATTCATATTTAATACTTTTATGTGTTTTTTTTTTTCTAGCAGTCAAGAGAGTCAAAATGGCCACATCTAATTTTCATTTTTCATCTCGGGTATCATCTTTACATCACGAGAATACACCCAAGAGGTTTCATTGTTCATTTTGCTCCTATTCCACTAATGTCTCTACTAATATCAAAATGCACTCTTTAATACATACTGGTGAACGTCCTTTTACTTGCAGCAAATGCAATAAAAGTTTCACTCAGAAGATTTCTCTGAAAGGTCACATGCTTACACATTTAAAGAACAACTAAAAGAAACTTCAGATGTGTTTTTATATTACTACGTTAATTTCATGTGCCATGTGTGTTGTAATGTGTGTTCTTTTCAATTTACTTGTGTGTGACTTTTTGTGAAGTGGAAATTTGTAACTGCATGTGTAAAACCTGTTTGAGTTCTTGAACATGTTTCTAATTAATCAATATATATGTGTGTGTGTGTTCATAAAATAGTTGCATATTAAATTAAAAATTATAGGAAGCGGTGTATTTTTTTTCCACTATAGTCTTATTCAGAATAAAACCAACTATAAAAAATAAAGTAAAAAGCAATGCTTTTCTATTTATAAACTTAGTTATCTAAAAAAATTAGTTTATTTTTAATGTTATTTTGGTCCTGATAGTTAGGTCAGTTTAGTATTTGAGTGCTCTGAATGATCAGAAATTGATTCATGTTGGTGTTCGTTCATTGAACTGTTCTATACCCCACTCAATCATGACCAAGCATCCGAAAAAGTATCAGGAAAAAACTAAAGTTGTCTCATGGCTTTTCCCAATCAGCTTCTTATCAAAATGTTGCATTGCTTTAAAACTAGTCTCTTGAACCTAAAAAAAATTCATAAATGGTATTATTTCTCTCACCAAAACTTATTTCTCGTATTAGAAAATTAAAAATTTTTAATTTGATGTTTTTCAATGAAACAACTATATTGCCCTACAATATAGTTTTATATTTAAATCAATTCTAGAAAATTTCATCAATTATTTTTTTTAATATTTTTGTTATGTAAAAATTCATGCAAATTATTATATTTTACTTCTGCATTCCAAAATGTGATGTTGTTTTCCTGCTCATTATTGAAAACAATTGTGTGTTATAAGTCCTTTATATAAAATTTTTGCCTCTAAATGAATCTGATCATCTGAAATAAAAAATAAATCAATTTCATCTACTTATTTAAGTTTGTTGTTAGATCGTGGGAATTTTTATTTTATTTTTTATGTCTTATATATGTATGTTTTCTTGTGAATCTTTTTATTAAAAAAATTATGGGAATATTAAATGAATAATCTTGAGAAACTGAATCGGTAAGTTACTAAATGATTAAAAACTTCATTTGCTTCACAAATATACAAATTCAAAATAAAAGTCGACATGTTTCAAGTGCTCAAAATAAGCACCCATTATCAAGATTTGCCAGTCGTGTATGAGAAGAAACAAAAGTGATTTGAAGTATAAAGCGTAAAGTTGCCAACAAAAAATGAGAAAATAAAAGTAATAAACAAAACTAGAAAAACTACAATAACCGAGAGAAATAAGGTTTAAAACAGAACAAAGAAGAAAAAAACTTCAGTGGTCAAGAGGGGCAAAACAAGGTAAAATGCATTTCGACGTGCTATAGAGAGGTTGTGAGGAACTAATGTCGTTAACAAGGGTATCAGCAATCTTTTGAATAATCTGGCATGTCATGAAAATTGGCAGCTATTTTTGAGTGTTTGAATCATGTTCAGTTGATTAATACATTTCTTGATTTT